GAATAAGGCCCAATCCAGAGAGGGTCTTGTAGAAAGTTGTGTAAAGGCAACATATTATGTTAAATCATCAAAACCTTATTCCCACTTCTCTACAGATTATATCAAGGGTTGACAAATCATTGATAATTCCTCTTCAACCAGGATCCCTTCAGTGACAACATGTGTTCCAAGTACCAACTGCAAGTAAATCAAATAAATTTTGATAATTGTAGCCTTGGTAACCTAGAAAATTCAGGAATAGGAGTATTTAGAAACAGTGAAGGTGACTGGAACCTTGGCTATTTACTCAAGTCCAATTGAGTTAGAGACTCGACAAGGGCTGAATGTGGATTAAGACTGGGTAAATATCTTTAAAGATGCTGTTTTAAAAGGCAACTCCAGGTTGTGGTTTTGTAGTTTTTGTTTTATTTTATTTTATTTTATTTTTTGGGGGGCGGGGCAAAAAATTGTTTTCTTTTTTGTCATATCTACGCTTGGCTTATGTCTCGTCTTTTAAAACTTTAACCCTCTCATTCATTTCGGTATGACTGAAACATGTCTTCTCACCTTAAGGGAAATGAAAGTGCAGAGTGTGCATATGCATCTCTGCAGCAATTATATTCTACGATCAATTAAAACTACTGGAGTCAAAAGAAGCACTTTAATCTTTTCCCAAATACATGATTTGTTAGGTAAACTTTGGAATTCTTTGTGTTGATGTCTGTGATACCATATGGACATGAAATTGTTCTTTGGAGTTACTGTTCTTACTTTACATTCCATTATTGTCCAACCATTTGAAAAATGGTTGATGCAGGGCCGGTTCGAGATAATCTCTCTATCAGGTTCATTTTTACTTACAGAGAGTGGTGGCACCCGCAGCAGAACTGGTGGATTGAGTGTGTCATTGGCAGGATCAGATGGTCGAGTTTTGGGTGGTGGAGTGGCAGGAATGCTAATGGCAGCAACACCTGTGCAGGTGTCTTTCAGATTTGTTCATCCTTCTCAGTTTTCCTTTCATCTCTGAATTAATTACTAAATATTTCATTGGACTGAATACCAGGTTGTCGTCGGCAGCTTTATTGCAGATGGGAAAAAGCCWAAGTCAGATATGTTGAAAAGGGAGCCTACCTCAGCATCACCGATGGTAGGCTTGGGGGCACCGGTTGCCACAGGCAGCCCTCCCTCTCAAGGAACCTCAAGTGAGTCTTCTGATGAGCCTGGTAGTCCCCTTAACCGGGGCTCTGTACCCTGCAACAATAGTGGTCAGTCCTTTCAAGGCATGTCGGCATACTCATCTATTGGCTGGGGAACTTCTCACTCTGCAAATCCCTAGACATGACACCAACATGAAGATGCATCCTGCTTGACTATGTTTCAAGGTTTTCGTTCAAGTTTCATAGTTGGCATGATATATATTCAAGATTTCTAACAAACTGTAGGAGGATTTCTTAGAAGAAATGCTCATTGTTATTATACTGAATTTGTTGTTTCCAGTACAGGGGTGCGGAGGTGGATGCTGGTGGCTCTCTGCTCCTAAAGGTCTAGCACTAATATTTGAGTTGTGGATGCATAATCACCTCAGAGTGGAGCATGTCCCCGTAAGGACATGGTTCT